TGAAAATAAGGCAAAAAGTTCCTATTGATAAGGATCCGAAAATGCTTCCTAAGGGAGCTACGGCCCTTTGAATAGGACACCTCAAAGACGGTTTTTTCTCTATAACTTTAAAATCCTTCACAACAAATTTTTAAAAATTGGTGTACGGCATAAACATTCGATGGTAAATAGGACTCCGTATTCGAAATTTCAGAATTTCATTCAGGGGCGTCACATGCGGGAGAGGGTAAGTGTAAAAATATCCCTTCTTCTCCGGATATTCAGGTTACTGTGATTTCGTTTGGAAATTATTTCGAATACGGAGTCCTATTTACCATCGAATGTTTATGCCGTACACCAATTTTTAAAAATTTGTTGTGAAGGATTTTAAAGTTATAGAGAAAAAACCGTCTTTGAGGTGTCCTATTCAAAGGGCCGTAGCTCCCTTAGGAAGCATTTTCGGATCCTTATCAATAGTAACTTTTTGCCTTATTTTCATGCAAGGAATACGCCTCTGAAAGGATGCCGCTTACTTTTGAATCACCCTGTATAATCTTGAGTTCGTCAGCTCACTCAACCGATTTATTGGAAATAGAAGCTTCCACAGTCCAGGCTTGACGCCTATCAGATCTTGCTTCAACTCCAAATCGCGACATCCATAATCTCAGCTGGAGTTACTGCTTGTACTCAGCCTCCAGGACTCCTTTGGTTCTTATGTAGTATGAATTCAACGTCTTAAAAAAGTTTCTGTCCCTTTATTTTCCCATTTTTTCCTGACATTCCCCTTTATCATCTTTCCTGATAGGCTTCTCAACAACTCTCTTTTTTCTCCCATCATCACCTACCTACTAGATACACAACTATCTGAACTAATCTATACACATACAGAATGGTCTAATATACTATACACATGCATAGTGGTCTATTACATTACCCCCCTGTTAAATTGGAATATGGTAATACCAAAATAAATGGTAATTTAACATCACAATAGAGATTATATTCGAGTACCCAATTTACTACTACAACCATACCCTTTGATTACAAAATCGCAATAAAATCATCAAAATGAACTGCTAAACAAATGAAAAAGTTTTCAACTGAATCATTAGTTTGAATCTCTAATTTCTCAACATTATTAGTACCCAACCATTATTAATTCGTTTTTGGGTTAGTATATCCTTCATTAGGCATGTGCACAAAATTATTTAACTAAATAAATTGAAAACGGTTCGCTTGTAAAAATTTCGCAAGAATGCTTTTTCAGAATTTTATGAATTATTCAGCGGTGTACTTATGTTCTCAAAAGTTTCCAGTGATGTCCTACTTATTTGTATAAAAGGGACATGTAACCCTTGTATCAGCGCTTATAGGTTCCTGTAGCCATATTTGACTTGTATTTTAGACACACATTAACATTTTGTCTTCGCTTAGATTTAGAACTCAAACGCCCTGTTATGGTGCAATATTGTATAGTCATCAAAAAAGTTAACTTATTTTGCGAGTGTATTTCGCCTCTCAAAATCAATTTACATAAATCTGGACCACCTTGTATTTGTCCTGGATTCTTCTATACATAACTTTCTCATTTTCTTCAATGTGCTCGACAATTTTTCACACACAATGTATTATAAATGGTTTCAAAGCTGTATTATCAAACATATTTTTTCCATTTTCATCAGGTTGGTTAAATTCGAAAAAACTTCTATAGATTGTAAAGATATCGGTTCGGCACTAGGTCCCGAATCTACATTGACCTGGTTGGGTTTTTCTGACGCTGGTACACCTGCGATGATGGATTCCTTGGGTATGCTGTCGCTGTACCCATATAACAGTAATATTTGGATACCGTTTTGTGATACAGCCAAACATGTGAGTATTGAAGAACTTCGTGAGGGTCTATCTGATACCCCTCCAAAGTTGTGGCATTCGAAAATATCTGTAAATTTAAATAATTTAATTTGTCTGTACAGGGTCATTCCGTATATTCAAACAGCTTCTACAGGGTTTATCATTGGAGATAGAGGAAAACTTCGAATGCAGAAGTTGTAGGGTTTGTTCTGAACCTCCAGAAAATTATACCAGATGGAACAAATAAATATCGCTGATATAATAAATGGGTACCAACTTCGTTATTTTCAATAGAACACCCTATATATTTTTCGAAAAAATGTAAGATCTTTGTTTCCTGATTCCAAAAATATATTGATCATTGATATTTGGTTCAGCCGTTTTCGAGATATTCTCGGTTGAACATTTTAGATTTAGTTTTAATTTGATTCCACCAAATCGCAATTGCCATGAGGAAAAAAACAACAATTAAACGTTCTGTCATATGTTCATTGCATAGACTTTCGGAAGAAATATGGGTTTCAGTGAAGATGAAATGATTCGTCAATTCTACAAAAATAATAATAATGCAGTGGAAGCTCGAGCCACCTCATCAAGTTATGCCCGTACGGCATCACTTGAATGATCGTTATCAAACGTGGAACGGAAAATTTGGAACAGTGGAATGGCCGCCGCACAGTCCAGATTCAACACCATTAGATAACTTCCTATGGGGCTATTTGAAGAATGAAGTATATAAGGAAAGAAGTAGAAATTTGGCTGATTCGACAGGAAGAATTTTGGAATGCATTAAAATATTAAACAGTCATCATTCCAACTTCATTTGCATTTCGATAGATAAATTGGATAAAGACTACAGAAAATGTATACAAAACAACGGTGGTCACATCGAACATCTGTGAAATTGCATCTCCTTCAGTTACAAAAGTGTTTTTTTTCTTTCATGGCAATTGCGATTTGGTAAAATCTAAAATGTTCAACCTCGAATATCTCGAAAACGGCTGAACCAAATATCAATGACCTATATATTTTTGGAATCAGGAAGAAGAGATCTTGTATTTTTTCGAAAAATATATAGGGTGTTCTATTGGAAATAACGAAGTTGGTACCCATTTTTTATATCAGCGATATTCATTTGTTTCATCTAGTATAATTTTCTGTCAGGTTCAGAACAAACCCTACAACTTTTGCTTTCGAAGTTTTTCTCTATCTTCAATGATGAACCCTGTAAAAGCTGTTTAAATATACGGAATTACTCTGTACCATATTAAATTTTACCCAGTACATTTTCATCCTGTATTGAATATCAACCGATGTGTCTTGGTTTTCTCCTATAATGGTTTTTTTATACCACGTTACGAAATGCTAACTATATACCGATTCCTCAACAATGATTGAACACCACGTGACCAAAATGTGTTTGCAACCAACACTGCACAGTTGGTAAAGATATAACTATAAATTAACAGCTGCTATCAAAAGAAAACAGACGTAGTAAACAAAGTCGAAGGCAGGGTTGTAATTTCACTGAATATTGATACAAAGTTGAAACAGTCACATACAATTTTTTTGAACTCGCAGACTTCCAGGACTCGCCTACGGCTCGGCCTAGAATTTTGTCTACTCGTCCAAAAAATGGTATTTTCCGGTCTTGTTACGTAAATTACTATTTTCCTTTCACTGACTAACTAAAATTCATTTTCTCATTGAGAACAATCAACATAATAAATACATTTTTATATTATCTTAATATAACTATAAGAAACATGATATGTTGCATAAGTATTTTTTCATATGATCAAATTTCTAAAATTTCTGAATTTCCAACCACGATTCAATTTTTTTATTGAATCTAAAAAAACTGTTTTTTTTAGAAGGAGACAATTGTAATTTTTTTTACCTGTATGAATGGCATGTTGTTGCATTAAAGTTGAAGAGAATGCTTCAGTTGATATCCAATCATCAATTTTATTTTTGGTGTCATATTTATGTTCTACATGATTATAGTTTTGTAAATGTTTTCTTATATATATATATTGTTGATGTTTTATAAAACAATTGATCAACAGATAAAATGTAATAATGTTCAAAGAGGATTCAAACGGTTTTTTGAAGATAATGTTCAAGGTATATTTTTGAATTGATATAAGTGGTTTCAACGCTTGTTTATATAGACCTTCCCAGTCTATTATGCCATAAGCCAGAATAGACTGAAAACAACTATAAAAAGTTTTTCAGTAACCTGAATTTATCGAGTGTTTTCCTTAGTTTTTGTATCAATTCATTAATTTGCTTATGCCATTTGAGCTGGCAATCTGAGTAAATTCCCAGATACTTTACTACATCAATTTTGGTAATATATTCGGTACAATTACATTGCTTTTCATTTTTTAAACATAGAATAGTATGTATCTTCAATTTATCAATTCTTTTTGGTTGCATATTTCCATTAAATGTAAAAGTCATAAAATTCGATTTCTTCAAATTTAGGGTCAGTAAATCGTGATCAAGATTGTATTTTATGATTGATAAATCAAATTCAGCATTTGATACTGTTTCTTCCCGAGTATTTCCACTACCTATATACACTGTATCGTCAGCATAGGAAAATAAATTTCCTTTCATCTTTGTTTTCAATATATCATTAATGTAAATTAAGAATAGAATAGGTCCTAAAACTGTCCCTTGAGGGACACCACATTGTATAATTCTTGTGTTACTTCGAACTTGCTCGATCTGAACATTTTGTTCCCTTTCAGATAAAGAACGTTTGAAAATGTTCAAGCATATTCCTTCAATACCAAGCCCTTCCAATTTTGATAATAATTTCTCATATGGAACAGTATCAAATGCTTTCTTCAAATCTAAACATATTCCAATAGAATTTCATGTATTATCTAAGGATATATCAATTGTTTCAGTAACGCTGAATATTGCATCTTCTGTTCCCATTTTTTCTCTGATTCCAAATTGTTTCGAAAATAATACATTATGTCTTTCCAAAAAATCTGTTAATCTGAATGATTTCACAGATACAGTATTCATTTTTTTTTTAGCGAAAATTCATGGGAGATGGATTTTTCGTGACGGCAGTTTTCGAAACGTATCAAGCAGTGGGTGGTATCAAGTGTAAAGGAACAGTGTACCCTGGTTTCACTCCACGCCCGACGATGTGTGAATTGCCTTTGGAGCCGCCATTCGTAGAGTGTTCTACTGAGAAAACCCAAATGGAAATGAATTTGTTCACTTGGTCGACGTTGCAAGTATCGGACACGGATAAGAAGTTCAAAGAAACTGCGATCAAAACATTTGCGGTAAGATTTTTTGAATCAACTATTTGAAAACAACTATTTTATTGACCAAATGATTCGATAACATTATTCGAAATTATTATTACTATGTCAGAGACAATGCGCCAATAGTACCACTCGGTAAGGGCTAACATTCTTTCTGGATAGAATTTGATGATGGCTTGAGTAGCATATGGTTTTACCTGAGTGTGCCTCCTGGACACAAACTCCTATTGCGTGTATTTCGTTTCGAAATTCCGTGGTGTATTGCCCTAGTGAGACTGATTTATCACATTTCAGGATTAGATCATGGAATCTAGTCCCCGTTTCTTTGTCCATTTTTCATTCGTCTGTGTACCACGTTGATTTGAATGGCGGTTTTGGAGTGAAAGTATTTTGAGCATACACCGCTACCCATGTCTAGCACAGGATCTTTAATTACATTAATGATTTGTTTGTGCCCATATGAGCACATGGGTTCCCAGTTTACATTGCCTTTTAGCCGTTGGGTACCCATCCTTGCATCTGCTTTGATATTACCGTAGTTGGAGTACAATTCATCACTGCTGTTATACTCTAAAAAGCTGGAGATCCTAGAAGATCAGACGTAGCGAGGCATAGCGGGAAAAATTAGTTTGTATTAAGGAAAAACAGAATAGTGATTTGTAGTACAATGTCTCAAATGTATTGTAACTGGTCAATAATATTCCAAAAATAATGGTTCTGTTTATTTAAAAGGCAAGAAATGAGGTACATTCAATAAATTACCAAGCATATAAAGTAGAGATTTTGATTATGGAACTGAAGATTAACACATTCGTTGCCGGGTGTATTATTTATAATACACCAGGTAGTGCTTTCCACAGGCCGGGAGTATCCTGAATGATACGCAGACTATTATTCGTTCTGATCAGCGGTGTATTCTCTGTAATACACCGGTAATAAGAAATGATCATGGTCTCTGCGGCCTGGCAGCATAAAGAGCAACTTATAGTCTTGGCCTGGTGGGTTTTAGTGAGGACTATTGTGTGGGTATAAAACAAATACTTATGGCAGTAAAATAATTCGATTCATTCATGTGACTACAACAAAAAGTGATAATATCAATTCAAAAATTAGTTTGATGGCAATAAACATACTTTTGAAAAAATAACCAATGACAACGGTTGAAACATTCTCTGCAAAAAAATGGATTCCCCTCACACTGATCGCAGAGTTTTCACTTGTGCAGCCATGCAGACCAAGTTTTTTATGGCATTCGTTGCACTGACCCCTTTTATTTTGACCTTGTTGAACCAAATGATGGATTTTTCTCTTGGTTTCTACACTTTGTTCAGAACTGAGAAGCGATTGTATACCACTCTCTCATAATTGCGTGATTGTCAATTTTGTATGCTAAATTTTTGCCATAGAGAAAGTAAGCAGACTGGTTCCCCACAAAATTACGATCATGACTTTTAGATACCATTTTATCGACCTCCGTAGAGATATGATGACAATTGGTCGCTTACATCCACCGACGATTTTCTGGCATCATAGTCAAAAACGCATACAGGTTTCACAGTTTCTCTCCCGATATTGTTGTTCTAAAATTGTTCTATCCGTCATTCGGTTGCCCCCTTACGAGCAACCCTCAGAAGTCTTCGAGAGTCTTGTGTGAGCAAGGAATGACGGGGGCCTTACCTTTTTATGTGTGATCTCAAACACTTTCTTGGGCCATCAGAAAAATGTCTGCAGTCGATGGGAATCGAACCCACGACCGGCAAGCGAATGCGGATTAGAATATAGACACTCTGTCCGCACGGCTACCTGGCCCCCTATATTTGAATTAACAGTATGCGTATCTGTACCCTTGTGAGTGGTGGTCAGCATCATCACGTCCCTTTTATCCTTTCATTTCAGTATGGTTATTCCATCAGCGGATTTTTTAGCTATGATTATGAGAGCAGTTTACAAGCTGAAGGTACACTTGTATAAAAGTTGTTGATGGCCAATGTTTGACCATTATTCAGAAGCTCTCCAATGAATTTTATCACCACGTTTTGAGAAGCAGACACATGTGGGTCTTCGGCTTCATCTTTGCCAACGTAAACCGACAAGTTCCAGGTGTAGCCCTCATCGGTACATGACTTGGTAAATTTTAACCCCATAACGATGTCTTTTGGAGGGTATGTATTGGCGGAAACTCAACCTCCCTCTCCAAGGTATCATAGTTTCATCAGTACATATTTTTCTCGCTGGTGTGTATGTTCTTTGGAAACTGTTCATGAACTTCTGAAGAATACTCTCTATTTTACTTAGACGATTGGTCTGTTCAGCCTCCTCATTATTGTAGAAATGCCAGAATCTATCCCTATTCCCCCTAGGAACGCACGATGTTCTTTGAACATTATAGGGATTCCCTTTCGTGCGCTCCAAGCGATAAAAAAAAATAACTCAAATCTATTTCGCGACATTTTTTTTTCTAAAACCTTTATTATTGTCAAGTCAATACATTGTTACATAATACCTACATATATACCACAACTATATATATACCATTGTCAGCATACACCATTAAGAATATTATAAATAAAAACTGCCAAATTTACAAAATAAAAGGAAGCTATGATGGTAATTTTGCAATTTAAGCCTTTCTAGTCTCATTGTATTTTTAAACTGTTCCAACTCCATAATACCTATTCTCTTTTCTATATACCAAAATATAATTGCACCTATGAACCATCTATAACACTCTGTCTTTTCTTTTTTTTTCTGTTTGAATCGCTAGTAATTCTTGTACATTCCTACATTTATCGACACCTATTTTGAATTTCTTGATAACTATATTTTTTATCCATATCCAATGTATCTTTGATTCTTTACAATCTCTTATTCTATGAATCACCGTATCCAACGTGTTACATATGGAACAATTGGCGTTATTACTCATATTGTGTCTGCTCATTCGGTCTCCTGTCGCATATACATCATTCACCGCTTTGTAAACAGCTGACTTCCATTTAGCCGGTATTATTTTACTGTTATTAACTTCCCATATTTTTTTCCAGTTCACATTTATTATTTTATTTTCAATATTTGATTGCACGTATATATTTTCTATAAATTTGCTGTAGAGCGTTCTTGCTGTTACTTTATCTGTTTTTCCGAGATTTTCCTTTCTTATCGCTTCCACAATGTGTTTATATATTTTTGGTACTCTTTCATTATGATTTTCGAAGAACGTGGTATAAGTTGCTTTATATGTTATTTTCTTATCAGAATTCCATGAGTTGAATAGTGTTTTGATGAATAATGCTCTTGCTTTATGTTCTATATTAATAAGTGCAATTCCTCCTCGTTTCTTCGGCATATATAATTGTTTTCTATCTATTCTGTACAGATGGCCTTGCCATATAAATTTACCTGTAATCTGAACTATTTTCTGACTATATTTATTTGATATGGGGAGAACTTGTGCTACGTACCATATTTTGGATAACATATAAATATTTACATACGTACGCTATTTTCCTAATAACATCTAAACCTTTGCTGAACTGCGAGAAAGCATTGCGCTGAATATTTTCTGTTATTTTTTTCCAGTTTTCTTCTACTGTTTCTGCCGTATTTTTCGTGAAGATAATTCCTAGTATTTTGATTTTTTCTACAATTTTGAACCCATGTTTATTGTTGTTCGCGTCATTTTTCCAATTTCCTAGTGTCATTATTGATGTTTTTTTTTCATTTATATTAGCTCTGGCTCCTTTTTCAAATATTCTTACGACTTTCTTCAAATTATTTATATAATTTTTATCGTTCAGATAAATGGTTACATCATCTGCATACGCTGTGGTTTGATACTCAATATTGTTTATTTTCAACCCAGTCGATGAAAATTCCACCAATTTGATGAATGGTTCTATATATAATGCAAAAAGTAGCATCGACAAAGGACATCCTTGTATGACTGCTGCTCGGATTTTTATATTGTTAGTCAAAAAACCGTTAATTAATATTTTTGTCTGTGCCGTGTCATATATATTCATTAAGGTTCGAATTACATTTTCAGGAAAGTTGCACTTTTTCATGATTTGCCAAATTACTTCATGTGGGACCCGGTCAAAAGCCTGTTGAAAATCTATTTGGAGAATTGCTCCCGCCTTCGTCTGATGTTTTTCAAAATCTTCAATTATATCTTTATTAAGTAATAAATTATTCATAATTGATCTCTCATTTATTCCATTTTGTTCCTTACCTATTATTCTCGTTAGGATTGGAGTTAGTCTATTTGGCATAACTTTCATAAATATTTTGTAATCTGTATTTAGTAGAGTTATGGGACGAAATTGTTCAATTGACTTTGCATTTTTTACTTTGGGTATCAGTAATAGGACTCCCTCGCCAAAGTTTTCCGGAATCTCTTGTTCTCGTAGTATTTCGTTAAATAAATTCCTCATATCATCTTTAATTTCATCCCATAACTCTAGATAACTTTCGTACGATATCGCATCTGGCCCAGGTGTCCTTTTTTTGTTGCAACTCTCAAGGACCATTCGTATTTCTTCAACTGTTATCTCTTGCATGCTTCCTTGCGCTTCTACATTACTTACCCTTTCATTCAGGTGTGACAATGGGGTTCTCATCTCCCGTTCTTGCGTAATTTTTAGCGAGAATTTCTCCTCAAAATATTCAAAAGTATGTCTTTTTATTCCTTTTATATCTTTTATCTCTCTTCCTTCCTTATCAACTAATGAACTTATCGTCATATCCCTATTCATTTTTCTTTTCTTAACAATTTCATACAATGAATTTTTTTCCGTGTAATTTTCATTGTTTTTATCCTGGAAATCTTCTTCCAAATATTGCTCCTTTGTTGCGAGAATAATCAATTTCCATTCCCTGATCTGTTCAATTACATTTTCTTTTTTCTTTAATCTTTTAAATAAATCTATTAGCGCCTCATTATAGAAGTTAAGCAAGTTCTTTCTGTCTATGGCTCTTGTTATTTCATTATCTCTGAAAAAAACGCTGGAAGCTTTTCTTAAAACTTTTTTGCCACCACAATGAATGATTATTTTTATGAAACTGTATTTTTTATTGACTGCAGTTGTTTTTTATATTGGCTAATGTTTGTTTCATCTTTCATTAGAGATAGTTTGATTTTCCAATAGCCCCATCCATGTAGGGGTGCTTGTATTTTCTCTTTCACCTCTAATTTCATTACTAAAGCATTATGATCCGAAAAGGCCACTGGAACATTTTTTACATCTTTGACACTCTGACTCAATTCTTGCCCCACGTAAATCCTATCTATCCTCGTTGCGCAATTTTCTCTAATATATGTATATTCTACTTCTCCCCTATGTATTATTTCCCAAGCATCCTTCAATTTCAAATTTTGCACAAGTTTCATTAGAATGTGATTGATGGCGGCATTTTCGTTTCTGGAGTCTTTTTTCTTAATAATACAATTAAAATCTCCTAACAAGATCATTGGTGTATTCATGTCGCAATGTGGAATTATTTGAGATTGGAACATCATGTCTCTTTCCATCCGATTTTTGGTTCCCGATGGAGCATAAACATTCACAAAATGGACATTATTGATTTTGTCTGATAAAATTCGACCATCTGTACTACATAAAACGTTGGATACTTCAAAACTATTTCTATATATTATTGCTGTACCTCTTTCCTTGCTACCTATATTTGTCACATAACTATAATTTTGATAACATTTCAACATATCTATATTGACTTCTTGGAGCGCTATAACATCCGCACTATTATTTTTAATGAAATCATTTAGTAAACTCTGCTTATTCCGTTTTTTCAAACAGTTGATATTTATTGACACTATTGTAAATATATTAATCATGTCAACTAAAGTGTGAAAGAGAGGTCAGCTATTGAATTTACCTTACTAATAACTGTCTTGTTCACTTTCTCCTGACTCATGTTTTCTGCTTGCCTCTCGATTTCCTCTATGCTTTCCAGCTCGGTTCGCACCGGCATAGCACCACTAGTTATCTCGGCAAAAGTCGGTGGTTGGATATTAGTTGCTTGTCGGGTCTTTTGGATTGCGGACTCTGGTGGTGTTCTAATTTGCTGGACTCTGTTCGTTATTCTTCTTGGGCAATCCTTACGTTCATGTCCTGGCTGATCACAGAACATACAGGTTCTTATTTGATTATTGTATTTGACCAGGGAAGTTATCCCTTCTACTATCATATATGATGGCACTGGGTTTTTCATTTTCATTACTGCTATTCTAACTCCATTTTCGACAGGATACATTTCTTCTCCTGAATATATTTCATTCCTGATACTTTTAACCTCTCCATATTTTTCTAATTTTTCTACAATCTTCTGTATCTGTATATTTTACGATACCATCTTCATATTTCTATACTATTTGCTTTACTAGGATTTCATTTACCAATTTTATATACACATGATATTTAATATGATCATACTGTATAGCTTTTATTTGATCCACTGTAAATTTAAACGTATGTGTAATCCACGCATGTAATTTGGATGGTATTGTTTTTTTCCGTACATTTTTAAAATTCAATGTTATTGTGTTTTGCCTTGCCACCGGCATGCCTCGCACAACCAATTCATGTTCAGGAATTTTATGAAAATTCTGTATACTCCACTGGATTCAGGATGTCTTGAAATATTACTGATCACAGTTTCATCGAAATCTGTTCAGTAATAAAAATTGATGGGTTGATTAAACGGCATATTTTTCAAATTTCATTCCTTTACAACTTTTTTATTTGATTGACGCATTGCAACGTAATTTACATGTTACCCATTTGAAAATGTCACAAATCCAGTGGTGTAGTCAGATTTTTTCTAAAAAAATCGCTAGTAATTTTTTTAGATTTTTGACCTTGAAAAATCAGATTAGTTGGCCCTGGAAATGGAGATTTATTCATGATATTTGGTGTCCTAATAGACTTTTTGAATATCTACCTAACAAAAAAAATCATTCCAATCGGTTGAAAAATGTAAGTTTTATAAGGGTGCTTCCATCTTAAATGGGTCACACTGTATATGCGGCAATAGTTTTTATTTATGGACCTTGTAGTCTCATTCACATTAGTTCCCAAAGGTTTCTAGCTGTCATTGAACTCGAGCAATCAAGCTCCGACGTATTATTGCCCCACCCTGTATATCTGTTCGACGTTGTGTTGAAACATTTATTTTTTATGAACATTTGCCAAGTTCACAGAACATGATTTTAATTTAAACGTTTCCAAGGAAGGTTCAATGAGGCGCGTTAATTTGGTATTTCTGTTGTTTTCAGTTAGCTTGTAGAAATAATTTGGATGAAAGAGCATTCGAGTTCATCGAGACATTATCAAATCCACAACTGATAACACTCAGTTTGAAATACGCATCGAAGTTGGACAAGAAAAGGTTAGTTGAGAAACTCATGGATTTGGCGACAAAAATTGCAGATGAAACAGACGATTTGGGAGTAAAAGTAAAGTATTGAATATTTCTATGCTACTCGAATTTTATGTTTATATGTATATATTTTTCTAGGAATTACCTGCTGTGGAACAAACAGTAATGAAACCAGTTTACAGAAAACTGTCTTTGAATAGCACATCTAAGAAAACCCCCAGAAGCAGAGTGGAGAAGGAGCAGGCGCCGAATACCCCAAAAATAGTACACCCGGAGGAAATGGTGAGCATACTGAGAATTTCTAAGGTGACATGTCTCAATTCGTGATGATGAAGTTACATTTTGATGTAGTTTTTTTGCCCCTATTGACGGCGGGCTGCCGAAGTAAATTGTGGTGGCGGAAATGACAGTTGCCGACGACGGCAAACTTTTATTTCTGATGAAAGTAACTAATTTAACTCAGTAACGCCGGAATTATTTTTTGGTTAAAACTCTAGTATTTTATAACATAATTTGAACTTTCCTATATAGAATAGCTGTTTGCTAGTAAAATTTGTTGATACAACTGTGTACTTTGCAAGATGTGGAGTGTCACCATATGGGCCCACCAGGCGGTTTCCAGGACAAAATGGATACAATAAGTAATATGGAAATGAAAGTCGTAAATACTAATGTCGAACTATTTATTTAGTATAGAGAGCGTTGAAACATCCAATACATAGCCCAACTTCACATTTTTCAATCAACGGAAATGACAAAGTGACCTACTTTGTCTAGTCGAAGATCATCAAAAACTCGCATTTTCCCTCCTGAAGGTTTAGATGTCCTGCCTCCACCCTTTGGTTAATTTTTGTACCTTATCAGATAGTACTAAAAAGTGAGGGATTAAACTTAGAACATCGGATTTTGCTAATGTATACCTGAACGATACTTCTTCTGAATTCTAACTGGATACAATTGCGACCAGTTTTCCTGAAGGGTGTCCAAGCATTCTGGACAGAAACATCTAGCAGGTACGTAAAGATCGGCCAGTACCACTTTTTTGCCCTCACTCCTAGCTAGAAAAATATTTCAAAATCATATTTTTCGGAAAAATGATTACATTATTTTACCTTGAAACATTTTGATCCATGTAATCTGTTCCTCCCATATATTTATTATACATTGAAAATACATTAGGTGTTGGAATTGGAACAATCTCCTCAGCTTGTTTCGTAAATTTATCTACGTTTCTTACTGGTGCTTCCATGTAACACGTACCGCAATAGGGACAACATTGTTGTCTATCCAACTGATAAACTGTATTCAAGAATTTCTCTGAAAAAGGTGGATGGAATCCTCTTGGATGTTTCTGCATCTCTTTCTTCCACAGCAATGAACATGCCTTGGGTATTCGATTTTCTCTTATCGTGCCAGTTGCTCCAAAACCATTAGCCTTCAGAGTGCATAACAAGTTTGCACCAGTAAACAAATCATCAAAAAAAAAATTTTGTACCGAAGAAGTTTTTTACTTTTGTCTAAATCTTCGATCATCTGAAGGAGTGGTGCAGCTGCCTTACCAAATAACTGTTCCTAATTCACGTTGGCCCGTGGATTTTTGCCCTGATATATTTCAAAGTTTATCTGATATCCAGGAGTATTCAACGACCATACTTTATAGCCGAATCGAATTGGCTTTCCCCTGATAAACTGTTTGCAGCCGTGCCTACCATAGTACCTTATCATCAACTCATCTTATAACAAATTTTACTCCGGGACAAAGTGCTTCAGGAACTTTCTTCAGAGTTCTCAAGTCCTTTTCAGTTTCCCAGTAGCTCCTTCTAGAAGGTAGATCGTTATACCCAGTCAACAAAAATATTCCCAAAAATACCCTCAGTTATTTTTGGATCGGTACAATTCTTGAAATGTGCATAACTTTTAGATTCAATTATGAGAATATCCAATAATTTATCTGGGATGAATAATTCGAATAATTGAACAGCTGTTGACTCTTCATAAGTATCGAGTATAATTTCCTTTTGGAAACTCTAAATTCGTAGACTTTGTTTGAATGATGAGTTTCTGAGTCACTACATGATCCATGAAGTTTTCTCTATCTTCAGTTGGGTTTTGTTTCACAGCACGAAAATCGGTAACTGGAAAGTATCCCCCCAATTTTTCGGAGATGCCGCCAACCCTTTCATTATTAGTAAAACGAATTTCTGCACCAGATTTAAGCTGCCTTCTACTGATATTTTCTATAAAACCACCATCACCAGAATCTTCATCTGTCAAGACGTGATTTTCTGGTGGCTCTATATACAGGGTGGCATTGAAATAAGTGCAAACATTAAATTTCATGCCGAGTCAGCTCGACGTTTACTATCGAGTGGCACCAATACACAAATATAAGGATCAAAATGTTGAGGTTGGACCCCTTTTTCCATCCAAAGTTCCACACTGTAGCATTTCTGAGATCACCTCTGTTCAAATTTTCGTGCGGAAGGCACAATCACGCGGATTTCGATCATTTAAATTATTCTTAAGTGGTGTATTTAATTTTTTTCTCGTTTTTTGTTTAATATTCGGGATGAAATTTCTTGTTGATAAGAAGAGTAAGGAAAAATCTGATATGGGAATATTCGTTAGACTGTATCATATCGATGAGCTTATTATATGTACTCATTTCAAAAACACTTTGTATACATCGCCAATTTCTGCTTTGTTATCCGATTCGTAGGCGATATCCAATGCTTCTTTCATCGTTAAACCACTGAATACAACAATGCTCCATTGGTTTCCTTGATTTTTATCGATGAATAGTATAAATATAATATTCTTCATTTTGTTCTGCAAACCGCCTAGTTGTCCCATATGGGTACAGCATTCTTTAGCGGATGTCAATAATAGTAGATCATTCATTTTTGAGAACTTGAGTGAGTATCATGTGTCTCTGAATTCAGTCACAGTATTTTTAATCATTCATCTTGGCTGCGATAAAATAGAAACAATATCACACCAGCTAGACTGACGCTGCATAACTGGACACATGTTCACATGTAATCAAATTACTGTTCACGGAAATTCCCCCTCTGCGAAAATTCCGCCGTGGCACAGCGTCCGAATGGTTCGATAATTAGTGGGATCATTTGGACCCACTAGGCGCTAATGGGTTGAGTGGATCATGAGTGAAAATAAACGAGTGCGGAATTGCAGTAGATCTAGTTGTTCACTACACCTACTGACAGAATGAGGGCAACTGTCAAATTTGACAGCGGAACCCGTCGCCCGATTTCGATAGATTTTTCATGAACTGTAGCTTGGTTCTTGAACGAAAAGGAAGTAGAGTATTGTCGGTGTTTTTCATACATCCTGTGGAGGGATACACTTGACAATTGGCTGACACATCTCATGAGTGCATATTGATATCGGATCCCTAATAGCACACTAAAGTCATACGGATATCCATAGGACGTCCTGTCGGGACATTCTGGACGTCCATAGGACATGCATTCTTGGTACCGCGGACATCCATAGTACGTCCGTGGGAAAAACAAATGTGCCGACTTCTCACCAAGAAAGGATGTCCCTCAAGGATATACATTGGACCTCTTTAGGAAATCATCCAATGTACGTACGTACGTACTTTGAAAAACTTCATGAAATATTCTGTTTCTGTACCGAGGTCATGCATAGAACATCCTTCGAAACGTCCTCTGAAATGTCCATAGAACGTCCTCTGGGACGTCCATAAGACATCATTAGGGACGATCATAGGTCATCCCTGGAACTTCCATAGGACGTCGTCCCGAATTATTCTTGAATTTGAATTCATTTGGGTCTCCATAGGACTGATGACATCCAGTTGAATTGGAGGTCCCCAATAGATCCTGAAGAAAGCTCCCAAGGATGTCCAATAGATTTGCGCAAAGGACATTGATTTATATCCTACGAGCAGTCGATCGTCGGCGAGGTGTAAGTTAACGTATCGATGACTGAGACGTCCGTAGGACGTTATTTCTATAACATTGGAAGAAAAAATGATCATTCGCTTACGTACGTTACGCCGGCACGACCACTTCAACAAAATCCAAAAATTTTTGTACCGGAATTTAGTGCTTTTTAGTTGCTAATTTGTTCCACTTTCCAAAAACTTGTTGCTTATGCAGATATAGCTAAAATTGAGTCCATGCCAGCTTCACGAGAAGTTGGCACAACAACTTTTTCATTTTAACTCCAAACTGAGAAACAAGTATACCAAATTGTAGTGCTAATTTGTTGCTAATTTGTTCCCCTATTCGAATTTCCGCATTCATCTCCATTAAAGAAAAAAAATGATTCCATGCCAGCTTCACGAGAAGTTGGCACGGCAACTTTTTTATTTTAACACGGAATTGGGAAACAAATATACCGAATTGTAGTGCTAATTTGTTGCTAATTTGTTCCCACTTTCAAATTTTTCCATTTCTCTTCATCACAGAAAACAGTTGTTTCATCCAGCTGCACCATCATAAGGCTGGCACAGCAAACGTCTCTATGTTGAATTGAAAATGATCATACCAGAATGTTCGTTGTCGGATCATGGTTTGATATTTTTGTTGCTCGTTTTTTCAGGAAGTAATGATGAAATAAGATCCCATGCTAGCTAGACTAATTTTACGAGAACTCCGTTAACTGACATGAAAACACAAAAACGATCATACCAGAATTTGTTGCATTCTTGTTGTTAATTTGTTCCTCTTTTAAAATTATTGTTGCTTTTTTTTCGGAATTGATGATGACAGAAGATGTCATGTTAGACTAATTTCTCGAAAACGATGTTCTTTGAACATTATAGGGATTCCCTTTCGTGCGCTCCAAGCGATAAAAAAAAAAAAAACTCCGTTAACTGACATAAATACTCAAAAACGATCATGCCAGAATTTGTTGCTTTCTTATTGTTAATTTGTTCCTCTTTTAAAATTTGTGTTGCTTTTTTTTTCGGAAATGAAGATGATAGAAGATGTCATGCTAGACTAATTTCTCGAAAACTCCGTTAACTGACATAAAAACTCAAGAACGATCATGACAGAATTTGTTGCTTTTTTGTTGTGAATTTGTTCCTCGTTTAGAATTTTTGTTGCTCTGTATTTGTTTTTGGAAACTATGGTGATAGAAGATGCCATGCTAGACTAATTTTTCGAAAACTTCGTTGAATGACATAAAAACGCGAAAACGATCATGCCAGGATTTGTTGCTTTCCTGTTACTAATTTGTTTCCCTTTGTAAATTTTCGTTGCTCTAGTTTTTTTCGGAAATGATGGTGATAGAAGATGCCATGCTAGACTAATTTCTCGAAAACTCCGTCAACTGACATAAAAACTCAAAAACGATCATGCCAGAATTTGTTGCTTTTTTGTTGTGAATTTGTTCCCCTTTTAGAATTTTTGTTGCTCTTATTTTTTTTTTTGGAAACTGGTGATAGAAGATGCCATGCTAGACTAATTTTTCGAAAACTACATTAACTGACATAAAAACGCAAAAACGATCATGACAGGATTTGTTGCTGTCTTGTTGTTAATTTGTTCCCCTTTTGAAATTTTCGTTCCTCTTGTTTTTTTCGGAAATGATGGTGATAGAAGATGCCATGCCAGACTAATTTTCCGAAAACTCCGTTAAATGACATAAAAACTCAAAAACGATTATGCCAGGATTTGTTGCTGTCTTGTTGTTAATTTGTTCCCCTTTTAAAATTTCCGTTGCTCTTGTTTTTTTCGGAAATGATGGTGATAGAAGATGCTATGCTAGACTAATTTATCGGAAACTCCGTTAAAAACTCAAAAACGATCATGCCAGGATTTGTTGCTGTCTTGTTGTTAATTTGTTCCCCTTTTAAAATTTTCGTTGCTCTTGTTTTTCTCGGGAATTCGGAAATGATGTTGATAGAAGATGCCATGCTAGACTAATTTTTCGAAAACTCCGTTAACTGACATAAAAACTCAATAACGATAATACCAGAATTTATTGCGTTCTTGTTGCTAATTTGTCCCCCTTTTAGAATTGTCGCTGTTCGTTTGTTTTCTCGAGACTGTACATCATAAATGCCAATTTCAATTCAATTTCGTTCGAAAACAAAAACGAGCCCTGATGATTAGAAAAAAGGTACAAAAGCAGAGTGAGAGGTTTCAGGAATTATATTTTATTTCTAACAAATACCAGGAGAACTGGTTGCACAAATACATTGGATTTTGTATTCCTTTCATTCTTCTTTAGATCATCATACTCCACCCACTGATAACCCCCTCGAAGGCAGTAGGCTGTTGAATGGCTGATTCCTTGATTTTCTGAAAACCTTCTCTTGGGTGGAGGTGGAGTTTAGTTCACAAGTCCTACCAGCTGGTAGTGCTCCTTATCGTTCAAGGGATTCTTGAAGTATACTGGTATTTCCGTTAATTTCATGACCTGGCATTCCTGGTAGCCCAACTCGAATAGAACTATCTCACCTGTGATATAGATTCAATAAGTCATAATTCATGTATATTGTTATATGAATTGGTGTTTTGATTATGATTATTCTACCTAAGTAGCAATACATGCAATGAGCAATGCCAGCAATCTCAAACATTCCGTAAGAGCATTGCACTGACAACAGTAGGTTTTTTTTTAATATTGTAGTCACCGAACTTTCGTACTTTGATCGGACTAAAAGTGCTGATCGATATATTAGAACAGATATTCATGTTGGATGGACTGAGAATAGTGGAAGAATGTATCATGTACTTGCGAACGTAACATCGGTGATCGGAATAAACCAACTTTTCCGGTAATTGTGTTTATTTAATCTACCCGCAACAACCAACATTTCACACCTATAAATAATAGATATACACCGTGTCCCAGCTAAAATGTCCCCTCCTGTAAAAAATCAACCGCGCGATCGAATGACTTGAAATTTGGTCACCCAGTTTATTTCATGATGGTCACTCGAAATATGCTATCGTAGGTATTCAGGGTCACACCGAAGTGCACCTAAACTTTCCTATTTGAATAGGGACACCCAGTATATTATTCCATATTCAAGTAGAGTACATTATTACAAATTCAACAATGCCGGGTTTGATATGATTTTTTCAAACGACTACGAAGATATGGCAAAAAAAAACGATTCAATAAAAAATGTATATGATTAGATTTTATTAATATTACACGATTGAATTCGAATGAAAAGCAAATAATAAAAACCTCAACTGCTCAATTTGTCGTCCATTCTGCTGCAAACATTTCCTAGCTCTTTTGATAACGTTCATTGTGACCCTATGTATCACGTTGCGATCAATTTCTGCGCATAAATTTGTGATTTTCTCTTTCATTTCTTCCATATTCACAATTGGCGACTCATAAACCTGTTGTTTCAAGTAGCCTCAAGAATAAAAATCAAGTGGGGTGAGGTATAGCGACTGAGCTGGCCAGTTGTTATCACCATCGAGACAATTGGTGGTTATTAGATTTTCTCCAATCCGATGGCGAAGATAATCCTTTACGGGTCTGTAGTTATGTGCAGGAGACCCATCATTCGATTTCAATCGTGTTATATCAATAAAATCGTAGTCGTTTGAAAAAATCCCATCAAACCCGGCATTGTACTTGAAAATGGAATAATATACTGGGCGTCCCTATTCAAATAGGAAAGTTTAGGTGCACTTTGGTGGGATCCTGAATACCTACGATTCATTCAATAGCATATTTCGAGTGAGCATAATCAAATATACTGGGTGACCAAATTTCAAGTCATTCTATCGCGCGGTTGATTTTTCACATGGGGGACATTTTAGCTGGAACACGGTGTATAGTTGAAACACGTGTAAACAGTTTATAACTAATATCGAATAGATCAATTGCATTTTCGAATAAAAACTCGAATAAAAATGAAATATAGTCGTTTTTTTTTTAATTCTGGATTTAAACACCTTTACATTCAATCTCTCACCAATGAAAAATATTTGCGATGACAGTTTTCATTCGCACATATAGTGTTGTCAGAGAACTGTAATAAATCTTGGATTGCCAACCCATTATTTTTCATTTCCCGGAAATCGATATACGGACAAACCAATGTATTTATTCTAACTGCACAGTTATTGGAACATCGGATGGTAATCAGTAGTGGCCCATCGGGTTGGTGTTTCCCACCAAATATGCTGTGTAGCATAGCTCCTCTTTTTTTATATGAACATGCTCGTAGGCCATTTTCGAGTACATTCAGTGCCATTGATAATAGTGGATTATCATCAGTTATCTCACTTATCTAAAACAACACATGTTTAGAAACATTAATATTCAAAACAATCAAATATACCGGGTGGCCCGAAACCATTAGATCCTTTCTTCATATTTTGTTCAGATTATTAGAATAATATTTCTGAACTTTCAAAATGAACAAATCTGCCAACGCTTCACACCAACCAGTTACATTGATTTATCATATCATCATCATCATATCAAAAAGCTAATTGTTCCATCTTCCATATCACACTTTTCATGGAAAAGCTCTGTGTCGAGGGCAATGATTTAGAGAGTTAGAATTCCAGAAAATCTGGGAGTCATCGGTAGTTTGTGAATTAAAAGTATGATTGTGATTCATCATTGAAGAGGTAATTTTATACTAAACGGTAATATTTTGATAAAAACATGTTCTGTCTATTTGAAAAAATCAGTGTACTTCTGGTTAAACCGGAAGTGTCATATTCAATCTGACACTCGCTAAAATGAACATCCGTAACATCAAATCGATATGCCAAATTTGAAGTATTTGAACAAAATATTAGGGAAGATACAGAGGGAGAGGTAGATACATTGGTTTGGGCCAACCGCTGTAATCAAAATCATTCATACCGATTCTTGAAGATTTTTCCTATCGCAAAGAGCCAGTATTATTTGATATATGCTATCGAATGTACACGTGAATATCACGTACACATTCCTACCTCCTAATACAATTGGACTCAAAGCAAGGTTGCTACCATTCTTGATAACGAGCAATTGGTGTCGCTTGTCAACTGCTTGTTCAAATTGTAATTATTATTCTTCTGCAAATATTTTGCAGCTCTTCTGGGATTGGAGGATTTAGCCCAACCCCTCCAATTCTCTTCTTCTCTAGAGGCCAAGATAACAGAAGTCCCACCTACATTATTGCATTCGAGACAAATTCTCTTTTGGCCATAACCTTCCCCACTGTCTTTATAGGGGATAACTGCCCCAGAGGGTTTGTCCTCATTCTGACAAGCAGGGCATACAGAATATGAGCCTTCCTCTGCTATTTCTTCTCTGTCCACCGAAATGGCGCCAGACGCATGCGTTGCACTTGTACAGTGGATGTTAGTTACTGACTCGGTAACTGATGAATGTTCACCGCTGAGTTCCTTCTTCGCATTATCGTCGTTGTCCATTTTCGATTGAATTATTTTCATACGACCACTAAGATAATCTACATGTCTATTGACGAATACGTCAGCACGTAGAGAACCAGTTACATCCGACAACAAATGTGTTTTAACTTTGTTGAATTCTCCTTCAACAGAGGCGCTAGATGCTGGTATACGTCCATAACCAAACTGATTTTGAACCACCCAAGACCACATTGGGAAGTAATGAAGATCATTTATGAGCTTCTTTGATAGTGCTGGAAAAAAGTGTGCATTCTCTCTGTCACCAATTTCTGCTCTCGCAGTTTGAACCCTCTTGTCGATGACTTCTCTCCATTGACACCAAATATTACTGTAGCCATCATTCACGGTCAAATCTTAATCTTGTGGCAAAGTTTCAGAAATGAATTCAGAATCTGCAGCTTGGTCAATCTCCTGGAATAGCAAAATTTATTTTACATCAATAATAGTAGACTTATCAGATAAAAATATGTAGAAAATAATTCCAAATGATAAATTCTATCACAATGGATCTGAGTTTCAATATAATTATAGAGAAATCATGAAGTGAGTATAACTGTTGAGATTGCATTAAAACCATCACGACGAGCTAGATGACAATAACAATCGATGATATGCATGACATGACAACTGACATTCTACTACGAATTCCGAAAGGAATTCTGTAAAATAATATTTAATTTTGAACCTACTTCTGAGCTTGTAATGATTTCTTTCAAGAAATATTTTGCTGCCTCTGATTTGCAAGGTAAGTATCCCTCAGTCTCACATTGAGATACCAGCAAGATGGATCCCAAGATCTTCCCAGCCTCCTTCAATGATTTAGACACGATGAGTTGGCCTATGGATCCTAAATAGAAAACTCGGACGTGCCTAGGCAAGTCCTTCACCAAAGATGCGTATATTTTGATAAAATGAGCCACATCTATCCGGATGTAACATGCAGATGGTTTCTGCCATAAACTATCTGCATCTTCTCCGATTGATGCAGTTGGTGAAGGCTCGAATAGTTGCTGATAAAAGAGCCCTAGAAGCATCAGTCACTACTTCTTTCGCGATAGGTGCACCAGAACGTGTCCATTCAGTGAGCCAATAATTGATTGCGTTCATGTTGTGAACCTCACCCAACATCTGGCACACTGAAAATTATTCACTTGGAAGCCGGATGATTGAATGATAGAGAAAGATATTTCCTGTTTTTGAACCATCCGCACTACTCCTCCTGTGGCATCAATATACAAACAACTCGTGAATTTTGAGCATATTTTTTGTATATACTCGTTTGATGGCTTGTCCAGTAATGAACATAAAAGAGATCCAGGCCAGAACAAGTTACCAGAGAAGTCATCAAACTCAAAAAATCTCACTTCTACCAACAAATTCAACAATCTGGAAACGACACAAAAAGAACTTGTGCAGTTCTGAACACAGCACTGTTTAATAAAAATGAAAACAAGAACCCTAGTATCTCAACTTCAAACCAGGGCCATGAGACTCCATCAGATCCCAGAGAGATTGCAAATATACTCAATGACTTTTTCATCAATGTAGGTCCTGAGCTCTCAAATGCACTACCTCCAACCCCATTTGTACCAAAAGAACATAACTGGACAGAATCCATCTTTCTCTACCTCACTACACCTGAGGAAATCAAAGACATTATAAATAATCTTGACCCAAATGAAGCAAGTGGCTTCGACAATATCACAGTGAAACATATCAAACACTTCAAGGAAGGATGATCCATCATTTTATGTAAACTGTTCAATATGACATTTGATAATGGCTATCTACCAACAGATTTGAAAATGGGGAAAGTCAGTGCAATTTTCAAGAACGGTGGCCCTGAACCTGACCCTGACCTCGGTCGGACCGGAACCAATCTTGGGAATACCAAATAGCCTGGCAATGTCCTCTATAGAGGAACAGCTGCAAAAGCAATTCCTCAAAATATGGCAGGACACACCAGGAATGAGACAATCGAAGCTCCACATAAAGGAACCTTCGAAGAGGCTCGCAAAAGAGGTTTTATTCCTAAACAGGTGAAACCTTAAAATGGTAGTAGGGCTCCTAACGGGGCACAACCACCTCAATAGGCACCTAGAGCTTATTGGGATCAAGGATGACCCCCTTTGCAGATGGTGCCTGGAAGATGACGAAACGTCATCACATGTCCTCACTGAGTGTCCAGCACTGACGCATCAGAGGAGGGCTGTCCTTGGCCACATAATTTTGAGGCCAGAGGACGTAAAAGAGATTCAGCTGAGGAAGCTGCTGAACTTCTCCAAAGCAGTCGGCATACCCAGCTGAATGTCGTAACATGTGGGCGCACAATGGGCCCGAATAAGGAGGCCCACGTGCAGGGGGTTCACCCGCCCACCAGTGCTTCGAAGAAGAAGAAGAAGAAGAAGAACCTTCTAATTATAGACCTATCACAGTATTAACAGTGTTCGCTGGACTACTGGAATCCTGCATGAACAAACGCCTAACAAAATTCCTACACCAAAAGAACTTTTTATATGAAGGCCAATATGGCTTTCGTAAGTCAATTGACACAGAAATTGCGGCAATTATCTTAATATCAGATATTCAAATGAAGATTGATGAAGGCTATGTGTGTGCCATGGTGTCGCTTGACATACGAAAGGCATTTGATACGGTTGATGACCCTATACTGTTGACTAAACTAGAAAACCTTGGGGTTAGAGGAAAGGCTTTGGATTGGTTCCGTAATTACTTATCAGGTATGGAGCAATTTGTGACAGTCGATAATTTTCGTAGTAACACGATCAATTTGTTGTGGTGTCCCACAAGGTTCCAATCTTGGCCCTACCTTATTTCTCATATATATCAACGCTTTCAGTAAACTACATCATGAAGGAACAGTGAAGCTGTATGCTGACGATACCACATTAGTATATCATCCAAAAAGTGAAGAATCTATTCATCTCTCAATTGCAAATGATCTAACAGCTATTCAAAATATGCTGAACTCTCACAAGCTCACCCTCAACATTGATAAGTAATATTTATATTAGTAAGTCACGAAGCAAGGAAGTCAACCCAATCGATTTTGGCAATTCTCAGTTGATGTATAATCACACTGTAAAATATCTTGGTCTTCTGATAGATGAAACATGTCTTAGCACTAAGAAAAAAAAATCTCACCGTTTATAGGAGTATTATACAAAATAAAGCAGTACTTCTCAGTATCTCACTGCAAGATACTATACTTTTACCATATTTATTCTAGAATACAATATCTAGCTTCAATATGGGGCTCTACTGGAAGTGGAATATTGAATCCCTTGTAAAATTTTACAAAACGGCCATAAAAAATATCTACTCTCTACCTCGTCTAACTCCAACCACTGAACTTTACTCTCTAAGAGGTTTTCTCTCAGTAGACAATATCTACTACTTTAAAACCAGCATCTACATTCATGCGATATTAAATAAAAGTAAACACACGATCACACTATTCAGATCAACTCATGTTCATGCACACTCTACAAGAAACTGTACAAATATTTACATCCCATCCATCAGATCCAAATATGGAATGAACTCCATCTATTATAAAGGTATCAAATATCATAATGAATTGCCAGGACAAATAAAAAATATCCCCTTTCATAAATTCCGAACGGAATTGAAAATACTGATTCTAGGTAAATAAATAAATAAAAACCAACACTTTCATCCTAATTTCTTTTCTTATTGTTCATTAATATTAATACATATAAGTTATGGGTACTCTAATTCATATGTCTTCATCATGTGCAATCCATGTACTACTTAACTTGTGTACTATAGTATGTATAATTATCATGTATATTCAACTGTTTTTTATTATTATTATTGTTATTGCTATCATCATTATTATTATTATTATTATTAGCACTCTTCAGCTTTCTTTCTTTGTTCTTAGCATAGAATAAAAAATATGTTTTTTCTAATTAGAACAAATAAAACACTTCATGTAATTAATATTTTGGATGATGTTGGCCCCTGTTGTTTGTTTCGAGAGAAATATAGATTTCACCGGATCTTTATCAAGATATTGGCTAGATATATACTCCGATTTCGCTTTTCTCAGTACAGGAGATGAATGTAGATTTGGTGGTTCCGCATCTCCCGGACACATTTCCCTGTTAGCCCTTTGGGCTCTATATATATGAGCTGACTTCTCTTCGATAGCTCTTGCTATCTTATGTCGTGTCTTGCCACGTAGCCAACGTTTCCCGCATTTACTGTCGCCCTTCGAAATATTCACGTAACTTCAACTTCTGGCCCTGAGTTGTCTATGGATGCACGAAGCTTTCCTCCACAGTTGCAGTTGGCTAAGCCAAAAACCAATCAAAATTCCTCTCATACCGACGAATCAAGGTGAAACGATGATACTAAAATAGTATATTACACACCGAGGTGAGAAGAGATTCATTCCTGATGTCGCGAGATTAGTTAGTTAACCGAGACGCATATCGTCGAATATTTGTAGTGCCATTCTCATCAGTTTGTATGAATGAAAAGTAAGTCTAGCATGGCATCTTCTATCGCCATAGTTTCAAAAAAAAAAAGAGCAACAAAAATTCTAAGAGGGGAACAAATTCACAACAAAAAAGCAACAAATTCGTGTTTGGTTTCTTATGTCAGTTAACGTAGTTCTCGAGAAGTAAGTCTAGTATGACATCTTCTATTTTCATCATTTTAGAAAAACTAAAGAGCAACGAAAATTGTCAAAGGGGAACAAATTAGCACTACAATTTGGTGTATTTGTTTCCCAATTCCGTGTTGAAATAAAAAAGTTACCGTGAAGCTGTCATGGAGTCAATTTTTTTTGTAATGAAGATTGCGGAAATTTGAATGGGGGAACAAATTAGCTCCACAATTTGGTATATTTGTTTTTCAATTCGGTGTTGCCCCGCCAAATTCTCGTGAAGCTGGCACGGAATAATTTTTTTCTTCAATGGAGATAAATGCGGAAATTCGAATGGCAGAACAAATTAGCACTACAATTTGGTATACTTGTTTCTCAATTCGGAGTTGAAATAAAAAAGTTGTTGTACCAACTTCTCGTGAAGCTGGCATGGACTCAATTTTTGCTATATCTGCATAAGCAACAAATTTTTGGAAAGTGGAACAAATCAACTAAAAAGCACTTAATTCTGGTATAAAAATTTTTGGATTTTGTTGAAGTGGTCGTGCCGGCGTAACGTACGTCATTCGCTTGTGTGAAGGACATTTATATAGGATGTCTATCTGAAGACCTGATGCCAATGTATACCACTGAAGAATGTCCCTTGAGACACATTTCGGATCGTATCCAGGACATTCTGAGAACGTCCCTGAAGGAACGTTCAAAATTATGTTCCACAAGAGACATGCTAAGGACGTTCTTCCATGGATATTCAACAATATGTACCACGTGGGACGTCCAAAGGATGCTATTTCTAGGACATTCGAACTGATTTTAGGTCCGGGAAATTCGTACTTGAATTGTACCAAATACGGACGTCCCTAGGAGAATGCGCGCTGTTAGGGACTATCATAGAGGTCTCTAGTTACAAGTTTCGTACCGTGTAGTTTTGCACATAACTTTTTTGAAGTTATATTTCCTAGTCCAGAGTTTGTGTGAACTTGAACATAATTCAATTTCACCCCAAAAAGGTGCTATTGATAAAACCCGATACTCTGTACCATTTTACTCGAAAATAATGCATCTGATCGAAATTGTTTGAGATTGATGAATCCTCGGATAAATAAATAATCGATGATAGCTTTGGCGTATCAGTTGTAGGAAGAACTGTACGCCTTTTTGAATAATCTTTTTGTGAGGATATTTGATAGATGTGACAATGCCGAACACTATGATAGTTGAATCGTATATTGTAGAATGAATGAAAATCCGAAGTGCTGTTTATACGAATGCCAACTGTACCGGTAAGATTGAGATTTGCGACTGTTCAATCTGAATATTCACGAATAACTGATTATAATAAATTGTTTATTGAGCTAGAAAAGTAGGTCTCTATAAGCTTTACCGAGAATAATAATTAGGACTCGAATTTGGGTATTACCATCCTATAGCCAGATGGTCATAAAAGATCAATGTTGAATATACAATAAGTATAGTTGGCATTTCGTAGAGAGGTAGAAAAAACCCGTATCGGGAAAAACCCAACCCCTGCCAGTGATAAAGCTTATTGGAATACCTTCAGGAAGCACTGCAGTAGCGTCTTATATTCATGGTGCAGGTTGCATGGCGCCTTATCGTTATGGCTCTGGCAAGCTGTCGTATAGCTGATGCTGTAGCAGGTAACTGGACGTATGCACTGGCTCGCAGGTGAGTCGTACCTGCCAAACTATCTGAAAGCTTGTACAGGTGTGTTGACGGTCTGCTTGAAACGGCGGATACAGTGCAGGCTCATGTCGAGGCTGCTGCTGCAGGATGTGCCGTGGTTTGCAGGAGAGCTGAATGCCTAGTTGAACAAGCGAATCCGCTGCAGGCTTCTCATGTCGAGACTGCTGGAAGATGTGCGCTGTGGTTCATAGGTGAGCTGTATACCTGATTGTAATGAACAGTCCAGTGGATGGCTCCTGCTACATGTGCTGCTTGGTTGAGCTAGAGATGCACAGGGGTGGCTTCGTGGCGTGGTGAATTTCCATACCTCAGTTGTTCAGGCACCCTATGACTCGTTGCGAGTCTATAGCGAGTCGTTGGGTCTTGCTGGAGATCATTATGGTAGACCATCTCAGCGAGCTGCGAGTTGAGCATGTTACCTCACATCCTATGTGGCGTCGATGTACTGCAGCGAAGGCAACTGCTGTGAACGGCGTGATGAGAGGGTTGAGCTGAGCCATTTTCACTCGTGAGCGGCATGCTGAGTGCGTCAAATCGGCAGGAGCGGTGTGCTAAATCGGCAGCGGCAACGTTAGCGGCGTCGGCGTAGGCGCGTCAGCACCCATATCTAACAGGAGTTATTCAGCATCATGATTGAAATGGAGTACGCGTCACTCGAAACGAAATATCACTCACAATAGATCACGTCGGGGTCACCACTTTGGCGTATCACTTGTAGGAAGAACTGTACGCCTTTTTGGATAGTCTTTTTGTGAGGATATTTGATAGTTGTGGCAATGCCGCACACTATGATGGTTGAATCGTATATTGTAGAATGAATGAAAATCCGAAGTGCTGTTTATACGAATGCTAACTTTATTACCGATAAGATTGAGATTTGCGACTGTTCACTCTGAATATTCAAGAATAACTGATTATAATAACTTGTTTATTGACCTAGAAAGGTAGGTCTCTATAAGCTTTATCGAGAATAATAATTAGGGCTCGAATTAGGGTATTACCATCCTATAGCCAGATGGTCATAAAAGATCAATGTTGTGAATATACAATAATTATAGTTGGAATTTCGTAGAGAGATAGAAAAAAATCCTTATCGGGAAAAACCCAACACTTCGGATGATGAAATATGTACAGGGTATAAAATGTAATATGGTATACAGGAAAGTTAATTGAATATACAAATATATACACGAGTGGGAAAATTCCCCACATTGCTTCTGATTGCAAATTCAAATTCAGCTCACACGGTTTCTGTGTCCTATTCGATGCGGGGGATTGCGCATATTTTTTCTGGGACACCCTATATAAGGTGCTGCACATGTAAGAACAGATTCTATGGAAAATAAATCAATTCAGTTATATGTTAAAAATTACCTGTTGGTAGATGAAAGGCTGTATTGACATTAGGAGGTGAACTTATGTAAGAATTAATTTCAGTAGAATTGAAATCTAAATCAAATATTATGAATCCGTGTAAAGAAGAAACCCGTTTGTTCAAGAATCAACGTCTGTGTAGTCGCTATATTTCACGCACATTAATAGTCGCAAGAAAACTAATATGCGGTGGGTAATGGCGTAGTATCTAATTGTTTATTTTGGTTTCAGGATGCATCAACACAAAACTCCGTGGCAACGATAAACAACTCTCTAAATTCACAGGTAAATTCATTCATAATTTCTTGTTCATATAGAAATATATTTTGTCCCATTCTTAAAATAATACGCCATTTATCGTAGGTATTCAATCTACCAGGTTGTATTGTTTACCTACCAAACACTCAGTTTTTTCTTTGAAGAATTAATCAAAATATTAAGCCAGTGGCGAAGTTAGCTCTTCAATTTTGATGAAACCCAAGGGCGTAATTTCAGTGGATAATAACAAGAGGGAGGGGGGGGGGAGACAAGGAACCTAGAAACATTTTTTTCACAGTAAAATCAGTGAACAATGTACCGTAGGCGATTTTTTTTAGAGCAAGGACATGCCTTCAAATCGACAATTAGATTTTTCCAGGCCGATGACTTTTTCACATCATCATGTAATATATATTATTCAGTTTCAGTTTTCTCAGAAGTTGTAAGTATTTTTGAATGAAATGAATGCAAATTTTGCAATCCGTGCAAATTAATTGACATTTGCATTCCAAAGACATCTTGTTTTCTTGGATGGAATATATTTGCAAGACTTCACTAGATGATGGGATTTCCCAAGAATCACCATTTTTGACAACAGGAAGTTCTAAATTTAAACTGTTTTTGTGGCGTTTACGGATATCCTTTAATTTTCCACAAATTTTTCCTTTATTCAAGACAATTAGTCTATCAAATAATTTATCCCGAACCAACTTAGTCAGAGCATACATGGCTTTATCTAAGAGTTTCACATTCTTGCCATTGAGGTATAAGTATTTGATAGTTCTATGCATATTTTCTATATGCATATTGGTATTCAATCCGCTGTGCATTCTATAACAATAAGCCCAAGATGTTGACTTTTTTGAATAATTATCCCTGAAATATGTTGAAAAAGTTTCAGTTTCGGGATTGTTAGAAGTCTGATCCAAGAACTCTTTCAGCATTATTGTGAAGGCTGAAGCATCAGTTTCACACAGGAGAGTTCGTATATACTTGTAAATTTCCATCTGAAAAATATCAATTATTTTTTCATGTAGGTAAATTCTTGACTTGATTTCAAAATACAATCCTGCTTTTCTTTGGTGCATATCAATGATAGGTTCTTTCTCCATGCTCTATCCACATGCCAAGTACAGAATAAGCTAAAAAATTAACATTTATATAATTGTAAAATAAGGAATTCATTCAAAATTACCGATATTGAGGTGGCGACATTACTTGTAACCAAGCATTAAAATATACTTCAGCCATGTCAGACATAAACACTTCAGGAGTAATCATTCCCACTCTTGCTTTGATACATGAAAATAATATTGTCATGATTGATTCATCACTCCTGTTTGATATACAAAATGCACAGGGAAACCCCTGACGCAGATCATCAAGCACCATGAAGGTATGCAATTCAAAATTATAACTGTTCAATCCATGGGTGCCATCTATGCATATACAATCTCCACAATAATTCTGAAGAACAGTCATTTGGCCTTCACTCATGAATATCAATAAAACGTCCTCAGCTTTCAACTCTGGGTGAACTGGCGATAATACACTCTGTGGTTTATAAAATAAGATATCATTAGTTTTCTCTCTCATATCATTAACCCAAGCTTCCACACTGATGCCATCATTTATATGTCTCACTGCCAATGACTGTAGATACTTTCTGTATCTTGTTTCTGAACGCTGCATCCAGAAAAGGTCCATAAAGAAAGTCACAGTACGTAAACTGGGATAAAACTAGACTCTCAGATAATTGTTTACGTAACTTTGGGTTCAGTATATATCTGTTGGAATATAAAACTTTCAACGATGTAAAACTCCTTTTAAGTAAATTATTTATATGGCATTTGAAACTAAGATCATCGTCCAACACCAATCCTAAATTTCTCACAGAGTGTTCAACGTTTATCTGAGTTCCATTGATGCTAACTAAAAGATTAGATTTAATATATTCGTACTGATTACGAGGTGAAAAAATTAGTAACTTCGATTTTGTAGAGTTCAGTTTCAGATTATGTGATGAACTTTTAGAGGAGATAACGTTGAGATCGTAATTGAGATCAAGTTGCGCTTTCTCTAACTTATCAACAGGGAATTTAATGACAATTTGTGTATCATCTGCGTATGCACATACACTGCATTTATTTATAGATTTCAAAATATCAGCTGTATAAATCATAAACAATAGTGGTCCAAGAATGCTACCTTGGGGAACCCCTGTTGTGATATTAACGTATCCAGACTGATTACCGTTGGATAATATTTTTTGCTTTCTATTACTGAAATAAGATTTTATCAATGATGAAGCATCATGAGAAAATCCATAGGAAGTCAATTTTGCCAGGAGGAGTTTGTGATTTATTGTATCAAATGCTCGTGAAAAATCAAGAAGAACAAGTGCGGAGCTTTCTTTTTTGTCTAATCCTGCAATGATATCATCTAACACTCTGACAAGTGAATCGGAGGTACTAAGATTTTTTTGAAAACCTGTTTGAGATGATGGAATAATGTTCGTTTCCTTGTCAAAATCAGTGATTTGCGCAGCCATGAGTTTCTCTAGAATTTTTGAAAGACACGGTAAGATACTAATTATTCTCATATCTGATAGAGTAGTAGGTTTAGATATTTTTGGTAAAGGGCGCCCCAGAGAAATTTTCCATAGTGTAGGAAATGTTTGTTTTTCGATAGAGTAATTAATTAAATGTGTAATGAAAGGGTCAATGAAAGGGCTGCAGTGTAAAATCATATTGATTGATAAATCATCAATATTATAAGCTGCAGATTTAATTTGCGAAAGTTAATCATGGGTTTGCTCCACACTGATCATCTTGAACTGAAAGTTATCAGCTCCTTGAAATGAATCATCATTCTCATAAAAATCAATAGCATCCGTACAGTTATCATCCGACGAACCAGACCAAATTTGAGCAAAGAAATCATTAATTTTATTAGGATCTGAAATATCGTCAGGAATTGAATTACTTTTGCTCTGAGCCACCTTAAGATTTCTCAATGTCTTCCAAACACGTCTGCTATCATTATTTCTACAAAAAGTATCAATATATGCTTTTTTCTCATTCCTAATAAGCGTAAGTGTTGAATTACGTAATCTTTTATAGTCCTTCCAGTCACCATCTAAGCGAGATTTTTTAAATTTACTCAGTGCTTTATTTCGCATATTTATCGCATCCTTCAAGTGTTGATTTAGCCAAGGAGCACGTGGTTTTGTAACTTTAGCCGATCGTTTTGGAGCATGAAGGTCAAAAACTTGGAATAAAAATCCGTTGAAAATTTCCACTTTTCTATCTAGCTCAGTTTCATTCAAGAGTTCAAACCATGGTAGTTTATGTAGATCTTCTTGAAAAGCTTCAGAATTAAAATTTGAGTAATCCCTGTATGTGACGAATTTATTTTTAGCTTTTTCAGTTGATTCTAAATCAACAATACAGTGAGAAAGACTGTGATCCGATTTCAGATCCCCACTTATTGTTCCTCCGCTTATAGCGATGTCCTTATCATTAATGAAAATTGGATCTAATAGAGCTTTACCCCTGGTCGGTTCTTTAACTAGTTCAACGAAATCATATGAGTGGAAACAATCCCTAATTATATTTTTTGGCAAAAGTAAGTCATGATTGAGGTCACCCAAACAAATCACAACATCAGAAGAAGGGATAAAGTTACTTAAAATGCTCTCTATGTCACAAACAAAATCTTTCAGTGAATTATTTTTTGGAGGTCTGTATAACACCCCAACAGTTATGAATCTACGATTAATTTTAAATTTAATCCATAAATACTCACATGCATGATTTGATAGCTCCAAATCAATATTTATCAACTGACATTTGATATGATTTTTTAT